GAAGGAAACGCGTTTCCGACCTTGCTCACTTATAATCTACTCCAAATATAATGGTTTCCTCGATCGATGGCGCAACACACAACGTGTAGGTAACGCAAAGAGCATCTCGGGATCTCGTCTCGCATTCAACGCGAATTCCACGTATTTGGCTGGAGCAATTAGTGCTCTCGCGATATTAATATCGGTGGTACGCCTTGGTGCAGCAGAGAGTATCAAACCGAGAGAATGCAGAATCGTTGAGCGGTGTGGTTGAGAATCAAGGGAAGACAGCAGGTAAGAGAGCGATGATTAAATCATAATTGGAATTCCATATTGGTCATCTTCGCTTTCCGCTCGCGTAGAATTAACTCGTCATTGCGCCATCACACCCCCAGCTATTTAGTATGCAAGACTCTTAACTCGCGCGAGCAAGTTTAGTGTAAATTATCTGATGACTCCACTCGACATACCAAAAACTTGTTGCAAGAAAAGTAACAACGGCCACTCTCGGATATCGAGAGAAAACACGGACGCGAAGTGTGAGCGAGCGAAGAAAGAGTTCGTGCTTGTATACGTGTGTCACACAGAAAGCAAAGTTGGCGAGAGTGCAAAAGGGGAACTAGGCGAAATAGAAACGGGGTGATCCTGGCCATTGACATGTCGTTATTCTCGGGAGGAAATCTCAGGCCGACCTGTATCGCCGTATCCTCTCCCACGAGATTCAGGAATTATCGTGGACAAGATCGTAACTCCCCCGTACCATCGGCTTCTTCCTAGGATATCCGGCCGAGTGCTACTCCCATTCACTGCAACCACCGGTATCGCGAATAATTAATACTGCGATTTGTTTGCACGAACAATCACAGAGGCGAAGCCGGATGAAAACGGCTTCTCTCCCGGCCAGCATCGGTTTTCTCATTCCGATTATTGACCGCGAGAGAGATGTCAGATATGCCGGCATTCCCCGAACGTTAAGCACCTTGATCCAAAGTCCGTCACATTAGAGCCGACGTCAGATATGTGCAGGAAATCGCGCATTGTGTCGGTAAGGACCGCCGGGTAATCAAGGATCGTCAAGGGATTGTGGAATATTCCGTGTCTCTCATGGATGCGCAATTTGCGAATGCTACAGTGAGGAAGTACACAATACGTTTGCAACAGGCCATAATGATTTCGAGAGTTTGCTCTCTCGGGAGAATATTAGTCGTAAGCGTCGCATTGCTCGACGCGAAACAATTCGTGTAAGGCCGCGCTAAGTGCGACGTCTTACTCTGTAATTAAAAACGATAACTGCAAATATATTATAAATTTTTAGGAACAAAAGTCTAGAAATGAATTTATTTAATAAATTCAAATAGGCGCTCAAGATCCTAATTATATATAGTTATATATAATTAGGAATATATATTATTAGTATATATAATTGTATATAGCTGCGAATTTTTCTATTGTCTGAAATTGAAACATCGATTTATGTATATACATTTATTTATAAATTTTTTGCCAAAGTTGAAAATTTTGAAAAATTTTTTGACCCTGAATACTTTTTTGTTTGTTCTACATAATTCGCACATTTACGTTAATTAGAAACAGTAATTGTATCTAAAACGTTTTATGGAAAATTATGCTTATTTTTGACATCCAATTTCGAAGGGAATAAACTTTTGTTTGGAAAATGAGATTTGTTTTCAGCGTAGCAATAGATGGCACATGACGGTGTAACCATTTGGCAGCCTCGGTTGGCTCTTGCGAGATCAAACTCGTAATCTGATGGGGCAGTTGCAAACACTCACAATATAACATATGGACGTTTTGCCAATATATACAAACTTGGCGCTTGAAGTAAAAGTTATGCAACGAGGCAATTATAGAAAATTGCGAAATATATAGTGTCTTTCCTTGCAATTATGAAACGATATTTTGATAATACATTTTCAAACTTGAGTAGTATTAATTCAGCATAATTCTTAATTCTATTTTAATATTAATTATAAAATATAAAGAATTTCAAAAAGCTATTCAAAATGTGAACAAACCTCAATAATCACATTATAAATGTAATATTCTGTTCATTTTAGAACATCATACAAATATATTATTACATAATATGAAATATACAATTTGATGTTAACATTTATGCAAAATATCGGAATAAAAAAGTACACGGTGACATAATGCTGAAAATCATGATTATTTAAAGAAAGAAAAAAAATTCCGAATGCTAATCTCCACGAAACTCAGCAAATTTCAAGGACCCAGCTTCAATTAGATTTAGGACCGTAAAAATACTTCGCTAGAGTACTTCCTTACTGCTCCCACTTCCACAGGAAGTAATTTCGGCCTTTTAATGAAATTTTAAAATTCGCCAGAGAATCGGGATAATAGATAAATCGTTTTATTTCTGAAGCACGCTTATTTCCGCACTTCATAAGGCGCGGTAAAAATGAAAATAACTAAAAGCACTTTGGAGCTTTATTTTATAATAAGACTTGGATCACAATATATTAGTTTTTGAGAAAAAAATAAAAAGTTTATCTTGTTAATTTTTCGTTTATCAATAAAATAATTTTAGCGCTCTAATTTTTTAAATATAAAATATCTGAGTCGGAGA